TTCACTGTCTAAATAAGTTATAAATAAGTAAACAAATTAAATGGAAAATTGTTAAAATTCTTTTACGAAAATATTTTATATGCTTTTTAATTTTTTAATTAATTAGGTTTAATTTAATTTAAATAATTTTTAATTTATTTTTGAGGAATTTGCATTGAAATGTCATTGAAATTGACAACAAACTGTGCATCGCCACTGTATCTACTGCTTGATATATTTATATATATATATATATATATATATGTACATATATATGCATATAAGATATTTTGCATGAGCAAATATATATTATTATTTGTATATATAGTATAAATAATTTATATATGTAGATAAACTATATATATTTATATATAGTATAGTTTCATAAAAGTTTTTAAATGCATTTATTCAATTAACTGCATTTAAAAAAGAAAGACTCACAGCTTTTGTTTTATTTGGCCACTGCAGCTGCAGTTTGTGTTGCAGTTGCAGTCATGGCACTCGAATGGTTGATTCCTAAAATATCGAAGATATTTCGGTAGCCTGCAATGTGCCGTGGCAAATTCATGTGATTCGAAAGTAATTTAATTAGATGCCACGAAATTCGATGAAATTCCTTTGTTTTTAATTTAGATCATTTGAGGATGGCAATCTATTTCGGTATCTACATACTCATACCTTTTTCATGATGATGAACGCTTGTATATGTGAGTTAATATTTTTAAATTGTTCAAATAATTTTAATGATTGGAATATTTAATGAATATTCACAATTAGTAAATATTGTTATATTAATTTTATATATCTTATTCCCAAAAATTTGATTTGAAAAAAATGTTGGTTAACAATCACAATATTATACATTGTTTGTTGTTTAAAAATTAGAAATTATTTTACTTAAATTTTAATATTTCAGTTTGGTTTAAAAAGCTATACAATTAGATAATAATAGCTTTACATTTAACTAAAAATGTGTAAAATCTTTAAGATATGCTATTTATATTATTTTAATATGAATAATATAGCATATTTGAAATACGTTTCGATTTAAAATTAATACAGAAATATAAATATTGTCGACTGACTAGTCGTTAGTATGTATGTTGATCCTTTTTTTTGAGTCAGCGCAACTCGGCACTTTTACTCTTTGATAGCTGGGGGTACTACAGAGTTCCGCCCATCTCATTGACTAATTTATGTATTCCTTATGAGCTTCATGATTATTCAGTGATTTATCTAAGATCTGCGTACCTCCCCGTGCGGAGAGTGATTACTCTAAGATTAGATAGTGCTAAGTAGGATAGCCTGTCATTTTTCATTAATTTTATATAATGTTAATCTGATCGGCCGTAAGCTACGTATAGAAATATCACTTCCTAGCTACACTAGATCAAGTTAAAGCTTTAAGTAGATTTTATAATAAGCATTTGTTCAAATTAAGGAGTACTTGATGCTCTATTCCTGAGGCAAAACCATTATGCAGTTTTAGAGATTTTTTAAAGGATGTTTTCAATCACACCTTAGTAGAACTGGAACCTAGACCTTATGTGCCACACATAGTGTGTAATAGTGTGCTTCATTAAAAATTGATTTTAATCTATTTTTTTTTAATAATTATTTAATAAACTATATATTAGTTGTAATGATATTGAAGTTTGAAAATAATAATTTTTTTCATTACTTCACTAATTCTTTGAAAGAATTGGAACCTAATAACTATTTATTACTACCGAATGTAAAAAACACTTTTAATGGACTACGATTTGTGACACTTAACCAAAACGTAACACATGTTTTTGATATTTATAATGGACTACGATTTGTAACACTAAAGAACTAATAAATCCGTTCAAAACACTTGTTTATGATGTACTGTAATGGAATGAAATAATTATCATAAAAATTTGTTCTATTTATGATCAAAGAGAATATCTGAAAGAAATTATACAGCCATTTTTAATTTTCAAAACCTAATTTTATTTATTCCTGACACGTAAATAAAATCATTTAAATTGATTTTGATTTATAATACAACAGTAGCCTTATTTAAAAGCTAGTACTTTCGGTTAAGAAATTCTGCTACCGTTTCTTGTACAATTATCGTGCTCACAGGACACTGTCCTATAGGATTCCGATTACAGTAATCTAATAGTTTACAGATTCCTTTAAACTACGTTCGTAGCACTGAAACATCTACTCTGTCACTGCTTGGTATTAACGAAAATGTGCGTATATTTACTTTAACTTTCTCTTTCTTAAGAGAGAGAAACAGTCGGATACTAGTATAAGCATAACCTTTAATCCATTTTATTAAAATGGCACAATATTTTCGACTCCTAATTAATGTTCACCCTTTCTTGTTCACTATTTCTTTAGGATAGGTATAATAAAACTGTACTACCATAATGGATCTATTTCTTAGGGGTTTAAGTGAGCCGCGTCTCTTTAAAGGTGGTCTATATGGAATATTGTTGTTCCAATTTTTGCCACATTTATAGGTGGCGGTCTTTATGAAACTTAATACTTTCACTTAGATATGCAAAGAAGTGATGTCAGTATTACTCTATTTACACACCCCAAATTTTACACCTCTTTTCAAAAATTGCAAGTCACACACTCAATTATTGTTTGTTTTCTTAATAAACGAGATAATTAATTTTAAGAATTGAAACGTACTCACTCAAGTGCTAAGATGACAGCAAATCTTTTTGACTAGCGGCTAATTTATTAAGATATCGTAGAGGCAGCCAACATTTACTCATACCTCATTTACCAAACAGCGCTGCAGATGTTAAAAAACCAAGAAAGAAAAACTTTTGAAGGCTAAATATTGAGTCGTCACACAAAGTGTCTGGTGAAGAAGAAGTGCTTTCATAGGTTTTGTATAATTAAATTAAATTTGAAAATTAAATCTGTGACTTGTGACAATTTTCATCATCAACATAAGTACCATGAGAAGCAATGTTTTTTGCATGTAATATGCATAATGATTTTGCTGATAGGTACTAGAAACTACCGCACATTAATCCATACCACACCAAACCACAGTTGCAAGTAACTTAAGGAGTTGTGGAAATTAATAGAAGGGAACTCACAGAGGAAGCAGACACAATTAGGAAATCTTTTGAATTTTTCGTAAATGTATATTTAGTGTATGATGAACCAATGCGCAATGGTGTGACATTTACATGACAGCAGACTTCGTTTGATCACACTTCTTCACATCATAACACTGTGAGGTGTCAGTGCTTTTTTTCACTGTAAAACGGCTCATTGATTGTTTTACATGAATTAAATACATTTTATTTTGTACTTTAGGGTTAACAACTCAATAATGCATTAATCTTATGCAGAGTTTAGGGATTTAGGGATAAAATTATTAAATTTTTAGTTTATAAATATATGGAAAACAAACAACTTTTGAAAACTTAAAGTTTTTACATCTTAATTAAGAGAGGAGCACTTTAAATGGATACAGAGATTAGGCCGAATTGGGAATATGAATAATATTAATGCCGTTTTCGATTAGTGAATTTGGGGTAATTTATTCAATCGTGATTTACTTTCAGTGCAATTTTCATTTCTGATTAGTAATTCTCGAGCGAAGTGTAACACAGTCGAGATTAATTTATAACACTCTAAATATTTTACCAGAGCATCTATATTACCCTGAACTTAACAGCTATTTGATATGACTTGACACATAAAGTGTGATTTGATTCGACACATATATTTATGAAAAATGTAAATGCCTACTAATATTATAACAACAAAAATGTTAGATTACTCTAAAGACTATAGAATGGGTAACTAAATTTGACAGATCGAAAGTAAATCTAGATTGGATTTAGATTTCCTAATCGAAGACGCCATAAGTGTTATTATATTTAAATATAAACTCAGACTAATAAGTGAAAAGATAACTGAATCCATTTAATTATTAAATTTTTTTTATCCGAATAGTTAAAATTCTTTATATGGAACAAAATTGATAAAATTTAATGAAAATAGAATTATTTAACATAGATAATACCAGATTAGTAATAGGAATCTATGATCATATCAAGATATTAATAAGAATATATTCTTAAATATATTCATTACTGCATTTTTATTACAAAATTAAATTTAATTGAATTAGCTGATTCAACTTTGAATTAGCTGATTTTTGTTTTTTTAAAAACTAGAATTTATCGAGTCCCGAATCTGAGTATCGTTTCAAATACTAGATGGTCAAATGGAATGAAATATGAAAAAGCTAGACATAACATTATTTTCTTCAAATAATTGATTAAAATTTTTACTTAATACTTAAATTTTTATTTATTTTTTTATTATAAATTCTCTCAAAAGGTTCTAATTCATTGTGATTTTTCTAGATGTTGTTTGATAGTGTCAAATAATCCATTGAATTCCATAACAGCTTGAATACTGTTTAAATATTTCATGACATTAAAATCATATCTTACACATTTCTAGACTTTAGGAACTTTCTCACAGCCTCAGGGAAATAAGGAATCAACTAATTATCCAAATTGTATTCAGTTAACATAAATGAGTTTTAGTATAAACATGTCTGTCATTAAAATAGCCATTTTATAATAATGGATAAGCAACGCTTCGTCATATAGTATATTAACTTTCCAATCGTTCATAAGAATAAGTACATATCCTTTCAGCAATCAGAATTCAAAGAAATTCCATTGCTAACTGATGTATATTAAATTGATTAATTTCTTATTAATTTATAATTTATATATAATCAATTAATTTATATAACATCTTTATGGTAATAAATTATTATAATATATTATATTCTATTTTTTTATTAAAAAATTACAATTAAATTCAATTAAAAAAAAATAGGATAGAATCCTGTTCTATTCTATTATATGTTATTTTTTTTTTTTATAAAAATAAATTTGAATAGCATTACTTTAAATCAAATGAATTGCTTAAATGAGCATAATTTTTTTTTTTTAATTGATTAAATAAAATATTTAAATAAGATGTGAACGCACCTTTGTTATCCTTGTTAAAATTAAGCGCTCTGGAAAAGTGTTCATCAACAACACTGGCCGTGTCGCCGGAATAGTTTGTGAATACGACGCAGGTTGCAGATAAATACTGAGCTCTCCCCTGGCTATTGCCACTTGAAGTATCGAGAGGTAAATCTTTCGTTTGTGCACCATGCAATGTATGACGTGGTGAATCTGGACCTGAGGAGCATGAAGATTCATTGTGGGATCCCACGAGTCGCGCTGTAATATATAAAAAAATAATAATTACAAATAATATATATTCTTTTCAAAGTAATTTTGCACGCACATATAATTTAAAAATATTTCTTTCGGCTTGCATATAAAAATTATATATAGAAAAATCTGAGCTTAACATTAATTTAAATGTTCTGAATGCAAATAACGGCGAAAAAATGTTCGGAATTTGAGAATTAATTAGTCGCGCGAGTTAATCGTGCGAACGTAAAGAAAAATGTTTGGAATGTCAGCTTGTGAACAGACGGCAATAGCGCTAAGTGTTGATCTTTTTATGAATGAGATCAAATGATATATGTTTAAATCAAAGTAAAAGAATTTATATAAATTACTTTAAGCTTCTGTTTCTGCAAAATTATGGTTAACAACATAGAACAAACGCCTACTACAATAAATACATGCAAACCGGAATCAATACACTCTACACACTATAATTGTGATAAAGATACACAAAACTGTTCAGATGCATTATATAAGCCAGATGTGTGCTTATAACTGTGATCTAGCTAATATACTTTTTTTACACGGATCTTTATAATGTGCAAAATTTATACATTGCAAGTTTCAATCCAAATAGAATCAGATTAGTCATTTAATTTGTTGGAGCAAAACCTTTTTTTTTTGAATAAGTGGGTCCACAACTAAATTTATGATATAAAAATAGATTTCCACTAATAAAGTTGTTATTGGAATAACACTTCAAATAAAAGCAAGACTAAGGAGTTGATTTATCCTAAGAACTATGGTAAAGCGCCATTCTCATTACAACAGAATTGACGCTGTGTTCCAGATTATATTACAGGTCACTACTATGTTTATTATATCAGCATGTTAGGTCTGTCTCAAAACAAATAATAACAGCTTTGTTTAAAAGCAGAGAAAACTTCTAGTCACATTCTTTGTGACTGTCCGACATTGATCTGGGTCAGAAAAAAATATTGGGCCGCTTGATAGAAGTGGATGTAGTATACTTATAGCTATGAAAAAGTCAGCTTATATAAGAACCTATGGATTTTATACGGATGTCAATAATAGCGTTGTACAATATCGAATAGCCCAGCTTAAAAACTATTCTTATCTTGAAAATTGAAAATATTAACTTAATATTAACAATATTAATATTCCTTTAGTGAAGAATAGGTTCACTAAAAAAAATTAAATTTCTATTAGAAATGCTCGTTAACTTAAATGCTGTACATTGTTTTTCAGTATTATTTGCTAAATGACAATTGTTAAAATTAATAACAAATTTCTTCGGAGTACCTTTAATACTTTCTGTCAAACTTATGATCAACATAATCGACCCACAGAACAGACCCTTAATATTCGTAATATAATTAAAAATATCTGGAATATATGTGTTAAGACTTCAACCCGTTAAAAACATAAACGTACTGTCGAAAATATAAATAGATGCAGTAAACCAATATGTGAATGAAATTTAAATATAATATATAAGCTGTCATTTTCAAGGACTTCTACTTTCTTATTGCCATACTAGTGACATAGTGGCCCTTTTTCATAAATACCCACAAAATAAGAAAGATACCTTCCTTTAGATACATACAAGAGAGTATAATATAATATGAAAACACTTTCCTTCAGAACATCTGGATTTCAATCAATAACAAGTTAGTTTTCAAAATCAAGTTTCCAAAGAATTAATAATTAATCTTAATCACACGTTATTATGTCAGTGCAATGATTTATTTATTGTATTATTATTCCAAATTTTATTAAAAAAATATACAATAATTTTTTTAAGAATGGGCACAACAAAGTAAGTGTCACAGATCATATATATTATATGTATGCACTATTGATCAAACTAAGAAAATGAATTAATTTGGTGAAATCAATCATTTTCATTAAAATTAATAAAAAATTTCCAAAAAAAACTTTATATTTCATATTATCATAACTTTTAAACCCACATCTCTATAGGTTTTTCGATTCAACTATTTTTAGCTAGACCTTGATTCTATGTTTACTGATAAATATTAAAAGCGGTTTTACTCTATATCGATTTGTCTTTTCTTTGAGTTAGAAAGTTGTTTAACTCAAGAGTGTACGGTAGGTAAACTGGATATACCCCGTACATATATCACATATAAGCTTTACAGAGAATGTTGGAAAAAGATTTGCTTGAGAAATTACACCTTATATTATTAAGTATTTGTACGTAAATAATAGAAAAATGATTGTGGTTAAAATAGTTATTCAGTACAGAGAAAAATCATGTAATTGACATAATCGTTTAAAATTTAGAAAATATAATTCTCACGTTGTTTAAAATTCTTAAATTATATATATTCTGCAAGAATACAAATGATCTTGAATATGACTTTTGATATAAATTTGATTGTAGGAAATAGGTCCAAGTTTGAACTGCCATTGTCATTGTTAGTTTTATTACAATTGAGAATACTGTAAGGGACGGCGAGACAAACTTTGTTGGGATATAAAGTATATGTATTATTCCAGAAAGTAATAGATAAATCGATTTAGCGATTGTTGTACGCATAAGTTTATTAGTAAAAGAGTTGTTTAACTAAGCACCATGTTATGTAGAGTGTTTCGGGCACGGTATAAGTAAAATTGTTGTTGTTTTCAATGCAAATTATTAAATTGAACTTGAGAAAAAAAACAATATGTCGGTTCAAATTCCGGCATGAGAGCCGACGTATTTATACCTCGGCGCCACGGTTGCCACTTATGGTACTTTAGTACCAAAATTGGTACATTTTTTTTCGTTTGGTACTCATGTTTAAAAAATTTTACATTTTTGACAACCCAACTTTATTGTGGATATTTCCAATTAATTTTTTTTATAAATGCAACTTTGCACTATTTTATATTTTGTTCATTTATAACACTATGAAAAACATAGAACGAAAAAATAAAAGGGTCCAAGAAAATTTTGGACCTTTTTTTACAGAAATGGTACCTTTTTAAACCAATTTTGGTACAGAAAAAAATTTTCAAGTGGCAACCGTGCTCGGCGCTAAGGCAAAGCAGTGTTATTTAGTGATAAATTTCAGAATTTAATAATCTAATTACATATTACACTTTTAGATTTAAAGGTAAGGCGTATAAGTTTTGTAAGTACTGTTAACAATTATTATAAGATAACATAAATTAACATTATTACAGCCTCTATGAGGCTGGTTATTTTTGGTGGCAAATTGAAAGTGAGCATATCTACATTTCCTTTTAATTTAAGACATAACCAAAAAGTACCGAAACTTTGTGAAAATACGAAATTGGATATACTGATGTGACAGTCTACACAACACGCACTTTTGGCATAACCCGAAAAATTCAATTTGCCAATTTTACCGTGCCTGAGACGCTCTTCATAACATGGCCCTAATACGTCTAGACCCTCTCTCATACTTATTGTAAATCTAACAAGCTATTGTCAACATAAACATACAAAAGAAAGTGATTGACTAACACAAAAAAATTTACAAAAAAAGCCATTATATTTTCAAAAACACCAAAAATAAATTTTTTATTGGTTTCATAAATTAAATCATATTGATAACCAGGATTTTAGATATGCTATGTGTATTATATAATATGTATATATAAATATATTATATAATATATGTATAACATAAACAATATAAGATTTACCTTCAGCATCGTTTCTTGGTCCCACTAGATCCTCTTCTTTGGTATGTGTTCTGCTATGTAAAGCATTATTTAGATTGCCATGCACTAGAGCTGCAGTACCGCCGCTACTGCCTGCTCCATTGCCAACAAGTGTTAAATTCGTTGATGCGGGTGTTTGATTTGTTTGTGCAGCAACAGCTACAACGGCTGCACTAACCGTAGGCGGTAAAATTGGACTACACGGCGAATGAGAGCCTGCACTTGAAGCACTCGCCAGTTGAACACCAGAAGAGGAATACAAATCTTGATTGAACTGCAAAATATAAAGTATATACATTAGTTATAAATACATAAGAAAATGAATAGAGCATATAATAAAATTATTTTTGAGTTGATGACAGAATAAAACCTAACCAGACAGTCCGCTAACTATTGTGCTCAAACCCAAAAGCAAATAAAAATATGAGTACAAGAATAAAGAGAAAATAAGAAATGATTTGAAATTAAATCAGATTAATTACCCTACCTCAAATTTCTGAGTTTGTTCAATAGATCTAAAAATATTGGATAAACAAGAAGCATGGATATTATTATTTAGGATATCTGAACCCAACAATCACTATATAGTTCTTTCGTGGTGATCTGTTACGTCCATATCTCCGAAATGAAATTGGTATGTCGGATCTGTATGATATCCGTCATGATTTTGTTAAGAAAAAAAAACAATTGATTTCATCGTCCCAGTGCGTATCCAATCCAATGTTAGTGAAAGTTTTGGAGAAGTCTGTGTAAAGGCTTACTCAATTTCTGATGAGGATCTTTGGACTTAAGATTTTTACTAAATTACGAATCTTGCGCAATAGATATACAGATTTTTATCTAAAATGAACATAGACAAGAAAAGATTTTTTTTTATGAGTATGGTTATCTTTCAAAGCAAAAACTTTTTGAGCCATTTTTCAATTGAAATTAATCAAGTATTGAAGTAAAGTAATATCTATAATAAGGTCAATTGTCAATATAATAGTTGGCTCCTATGAGTATAAAAGTGTCGGTAAAATCAAATTATTATCTGGAAGTGGTTAATTGGGAATACTTGAATGGATAATAGATGCTAATAATTTTTTTTTTCTCAAACATCAGAACAAATGAATTCGTCTTCCAAAAAATGTAAATTAAAAAATCATTAAAACTTCAATTAGAGCAATTGCAACATATATGTGCACCCATGTCCTCCTCGCTTGTATGTTAACAATCATATATCTGATTTGTTACCAAAAAATATAAAAAAAACGTAGATATTGGTAAGGGATGTTACATAGTGTACTCTAATAATAAAAAGATAATTAAAGGTGGAACTAATATTTGTTACATTAACATACCAATGATATTGCTGCGGTTGGGATATCATTGATTTGTTTACAGAAGACCTTGTTCACAGAAGGTGTATTAAGAACAACTATATAACCAAACAGATCCAGATTAAATTTTTCCAGATACAGACACATTTTCAACTTTTCTTTAAGTTCAAAGCAATCACATTTGCATTGTTTAAAGAAATGACTTATTATGTGAACATGAGAAACAAAACAGGAATAGAAGAGCCCAAACAAGCATGCGGCAGTCCAGAAGATTCGTTGATTCTGAACACTTCCAAGTTAACACTATCTTTAAACTTTGCAGAAACAATATTAAAATCTACACAGAACTTGTTACAGGACACTGTAGACTCAATTACAACATTAAGAATATAGGTGGATGCAAAAGAATATATATTCTATATAGAACATAGAACATATTTTATGCAACTGCCCAGCGGCGGCAAGACGTAGACTTGACTACCCTGGATCTTAGTCCTAAATCATATACGTAAAATCATGCCCACAGCAATAACTAGATTTCTAAATGGTCTAGAATTGTTTTAGTTGGGCCGTTAGGCGTATAAAAGCTCTTTTAGGTCGGAGTGTATTCATAGCCTATTATTAAATAATAATAATTGTTTAAGGATCCAAATTTACTATATCTGTACAAACGCTACTAATGTTTTCAAAAAAATTCATTTTTGTTAATATAAGAGAAATAGTTAATAAAAGAAAAATTTCCTAATAAGAGTATATAGCGTACCTTAACAATTTAGTTTTAATATTAACACCAGGAAATTCAATAGAAAATTTTACAACAAAAATGATTTATATTACCCGGCAGAATATGGTATAACATTAAATTTAATTAAGTGTAGCAATTAAAAAAAACCATTTAAATTATTTATTGGAGCATAAAATTATTTATTTTTAAATAATTATCTCCTATTGAAAATAATGTTTTGTAAAGTCTGATAACAATACTAAGTATTAAGCAATATTAGATACAATGCAATAATAAACAATATTGCCGTAGATATAATGCATGTAAAATGACTTTGTAAAATGAAACTAATATGAAACCTATCTACAAAATTACAGTTAATATTTTGTTAAGTCTCAGATGTCACCAGAATAATTTATAATAATTGAACTCAAACCAAAACTTAAAATTTATTGTTTCTCTAATATAACACGTTGTTACGTGAGTAGGTATATTTAAAGATAAGTAAATGCATCTAAATATATACATAAATAAATTTATTAAAATTTGTGGATATTGGAGTAAAAGTGTTAGGGTCACATGCTAATAGCGCCCCATAATCTTTCGGTTTAATGAATTAGCGTCATACTAAGACTTGCGATTGATAATTTATGTGCAACAATATTCAATAACAGATGAAAAACTCGTTATCTACACAAATGGAATATATGGTAAAGACCTAAAAGTGAACAAAAAATAAAAACATACCAAAAAGAACAGATACGAATTGTCACCCACCACTAACGATGTCATTAGAGATTTGACGCTATTCTTAAAGTGTGCCGCTCTGGCTCATTTAGTTGTGATGCTAAAATTAACATCATCGAATCAAAAAATATTTAGACTTTAGTGCACGTAATAATGGGTTAACCATCACGATCCATTAAAATAATAGCACTACTGACTGCCTGTATTGATTTATGTTCCGTGGCGGGGTTCGCAATGCAACTATATCTCGCATTCAATACATACTCGTACCATGTGTACCGTCTTCTCCAAAATAACGTGAATGGGGTGATTGTTGCGCATCGGTGTCATTAGCAGCGGCAATAAAATATGTTGGCAACATTTGAATGTTGAATGTTGCATTTAAGTCATTTAAAAGCGCATTTGAGTTGAAACTAAACAAAAATTAGTATATTTTAAACTATACAAAGGAAACAAGAATAAGACTTTATTTAAATGAATTTATTTCGCTTTAACTAAAAACCTGTATAAATCTCGTTCCAGCTCCAGCAATTGAAGTTAATGGAGCAGCTGTAAACAAAACTACTGAATGTTTTTACAATACTCGTAATTCATCAGGTTGTAGTAACTTTAGAAAATAAAAATTTTCGCATTTCCAATAACAAATAATATATAAATAAATTATGTACTGAAAAGCTAACTATTTTTATAAATTTCTTAGTAATTGTTATTCGTAATTACTCGTTATAGTAAAAATCTTGTTTGTTACAAGCTTGCTTTAATTAAAAATTGTAATTAAAATCAATTGGAACTCAATTAATTAAGACGTTGAAGCATGCCAAATTGATTTTTTTATGTATTTAGGTTAGTTATGTTATAATTAGTATATCAATTAAATTTCTCTACATATCAGTATCTAAACATAACACTGCTAGTACAAGTAACTTTATCAAAAATTAATATAGACATACAAATTAATGTAAAAGATGCTTTCCAAAGTAAATACGACTTTTTGAATCTTTCATTGATATAGTGTCAAAATTTCATAATATTTGGACGTACAGAAACGAAGCTACTCCGTCTGAAGTGGCCTTCTATCAACATAAAAGATCTTTTGATTTCATATGCTTTCCCTTCATCGACGAAATGAGTTTTTCCAAAAAGGTAAAAGACTCATATTATCAAACCAATTGAATTTTGGGATCTATTGATTTAAAATTTTTAACCAACAAATCGATTATATTGGCCAATTGATAAGATGGCGTATCTTTCGTCTCATTCACTTCGTTCTTCCATTCACGTTTCAAAACGTCAATATAAAATTGTATATTAACAGCTTGTTTCAGCTCAATAAATTTTTCGTAAACAATGGGTTTCAAATCAACATTTTATTCACTTATGATATAAGGTCAAAAAATTAAAAATTGAAATTTTTGAGGTCTTTAGTTCCAGTTCTATAAATTTCTCTCAAAATTTTGGTTAATCTTTAGATTTATATTAGATACAGATATAATGGATTCTGCGATGATTATGATGGTCACGACTATTTTAAACCATGTATAACACTCATAAACTTTGAAAAACAATCATCACCATAAATTGTATACAACGTTTAAACGTTTCGGTAATAACAATACTATTTTTATTCAGTGGCCCTTCTGATATACAAATATACTGTTACTTCAAATGCGATCAAACTAAATTAGATTCGATCAATATAATACAAATCAGATTCATTGGAAGTATATAAGAAATGCTTTTAGGATTGAAAGCCGTTTAAAATGTTTCGGGTCATACTATGGTATACATTAAGACTGAAAAGTTTTCGGAAATTCTCATTTAAAATTCGCGCGCTGTATATTTTTCGATATTTTAAGTTTATGTAGTTTGGCAGCACTGTCCTTATTTACTATGCCAAAAATGAGCGTCGATCTGTCAGACAGTTCGTTTACGGCAGCTGTTGAAACCAGTTCACCTCAGTAGTGCGTTGCGAAATGTCTTCGACGGTCGTACGACCGTCCTGGAAGGCTTTGTACCACTCATAAACTTGAGTTTTCGATAAAACTGATTCCCCATAAGCCTTTTGTAGCATTCGCAACGATTCTGCACACGAAATTTCGTTCGAAACACAAAATTTGATGCAAACTCTTTGTTCAATATTTTTTTCCATTGTTTTTTTCGCAACGCCCTACTGAGGTGAACTGGTTTCAACAGCTGCCGTAAACGAACTGTCTGACAGATCGCGCTCATTTTTGGCATAGTAATTAAGGACAGTGCTGCCAAACTACATAAACTTAAAATATCGGAAAATATACAGCGCGCGAATTTTAAATGAGAATTTCCGAAAGCTTTTCGGTCTTAATGTATATAAGGGATTTATATCAATTAATGTTTTTATATAAATTTTAAATCAGTTTTTAAAAACCTGTCTTAAATTAATCTTTGTATAATTTTGACAGTTTATCAATGAATACTCTTCACTGATGATTTTCACTATTTCAA